GTGATTTCATGGGATAAAATTATCATTTAATGGAATTTCATGGGAATTAAATGGGATTTATGTGGATGTACCCTCTGGTAATTTGTTACATAGCTATTGAAAATGGCCATAGAAATAGTGGATTTTTCCATTAATAGCATGGTGATTTTCCATAGTTATGTTAGTTTGCCAGAGGGTATATATGGTTAAATGGACATAGAAATAGTTGATTTACAAATTGAAAATGGTGATTTTATATATATATATATTGATGATTTTTGTTGCATTTTTCCATTGACTAATCCATGATTTGGGGAATCTACTTGGAATATCTTGGAATCTGTTTTATTTTCTGGTTGGTGGGTTGGAACATTTGTTATTTTTTTCCATAATAGATGGGAATTAATGATCCCAACTGACTAATGTTTTTCAGAGGGGTTGAAACCACCGATCACATATATATATATGGGTCCTTGGTGATATCAATGGTAAACTGTACTATATATCTTTTAACAACCTATATACTTATACTGTATATATATATATATGTATTATATTTAACCAGTTTATATCTATAATTCTTACTCTTGGGTAAACTAACAAAAAAACATTCAGGATAGACCTGTGGATATGTCCAAGGTCGAATGTTGAACGGTTCACCAGACAAGGGAAGCCCAATGGACTCCAGTTTATACTGAAATGAACAGTTCGTATGACATAGTGATGTCATGTGATATACCCTTTGGTAAACTAACGGTTTGCTATTGAAAACGGCCATAGAAATATTTGATTTACCTTAAACATGGTGATTTTCCATGATTATGTTAGATTACCAGAGGGTAGATCTACTATACAACCAGCTAAAAATGGAACATGGTACGTTTTTTTTGGCGGGTATCTAAGATTGACCATGATTTAAGGCAAGGATTTTCCCAGCAAAAAATGGTGGTTTCAAAGCACTTCGATTGGTTTTGAATCAAAAAAAATGTAGATTTCATGGGAACTATATGATTGTATGGGATCCATAACAACATTGTGTCGAGCAAGGCTAAGCATGTATTTTGTTCAGAGTTTTCACCAATATGATATTTCACGATTTATCATGATTTCTCCAAGGTAGAAATCTGAACATGTGGGGGAAAGTCTGCATTTTTTTATGGTTTACCCTCTGGTAAACTAACATACCTATGGAAAATCACAATTTTCAATGGGAAAATCCACTATAAATGTTCATTTTCAATAGCTATGTTAAATTACCAGAGGGTATCGTTTTTTTACGCTTTCTTCGCGTTTTTTGAATTGCCAATTTTTCAGGGGTCCACATTCTTGGACGCAGAAAAAACGTTGACCAAAAACACGGTGCTTTTTATAAAGACAATAACTGGATTTCATTGGGAAAACTCATGCAAAAAAATAGTGGTTCAAGGGAAATTTGGATTTTCATGGGCAAAACACATGATGTTTCATTGGGAAAACTCATATATTATAGAGAAAATCAAGTATTTTATGGTGAAACAAAAAACAGTGCTTTGACTAGTGTTCAGTGTGGATTGTTTTCAGAGAAAATGAGAAGATTACACCAAACAAAAAGCGAAACCATGGTGGGATAACACAGGGTTCACACGGAGAGTTTCGACGAAGCACATGATGTCATTATGTGACCACTTTCATTTTTGAAACAAAAACTTGACATGTTAGGAACGGCTTCGTTCCTCAAGCCATAAGAAAGATAATAAGGCGCTAAGCAACTGTCAACCTGGCCAGCCCTAAGTTGGATGGTTTTTTCTTGTCGATAAAACACATTGGCAACAAACACACAATGTAGGTCAATCTTAGATGGGTAGAAACGAATCCAAAATAGTCTTTTGGTATCAACGGGATTATCTACGTTCACCAGCTAAGAATTTGTTTTTTTTTGCAGGAATCTTTCATGGAGTATGAGTGGGATTCAACCAACAAGCAATGTCAAGAAACCCATTGGTCTATTGTCAAAGTCAATGTTCTAAGATTGTCCATGACAATGTAGTTGTGTTGGCTTTTGATCTCCCCATTCATCAAGTCATCGCCCAAGTTTTCTAAGTTTGCAAAAGCACATGGCAACAGACTGACAGTAACATTAGAACCAACTCATTTACATGACCCATAGATACCTATAGATTATTAGTTATAGATTGTTATAATTTTCCTTACATTTTTTTATAGATTGTTATAACCAACTGGTTTACATTAGCAACATGACTAGATCTCCACACATAGTTATAGATTGTTATAGTTTTCCTTAAGTTGACCAACACGACTCATGCGATATGTGTGTTAAAAAATAGAGATTTGATATCGTTGGCTTATTCATTCGTCCCATAACCATTCATTGTGCTCAGCTGTATAGCCCCATTGATATTAACACCATCTATTTTGCTTACGGTTTGATCTCCATAAACACAAATTGTTTTCTCATCAATTTTCCAACGATCAAACTGATCAAACCTCCATATTAAAAAGAATGCGTTCCCAGTATTTTCCCGATCGTCCCAGATTAACGCATCCGTTTTCGATGTTCTCCAAGCATTTTATGGATGTTCCAAGCGTCCCCGGCAGGCTGCTGGATGTGTACATATAGCCAGTACAACCCGGTAAGGGTTGAAGCAACACAAAACCCAGCGGCTGTGTCCAGTGGATTCCAGTGGCGAGTGGCTGCAGGATGATAATGTCAAGAGTCAATAGCAATTTTGTGTCTGCAATATGTGTTTGTTTCTGTTATTACAAAGTGGTGAACATAATTCCAATTTCACTATGGTTTTATGGTTTATGATGCTTATAACTACGTATAGTTAATGGGGTTTATAAACCAATTTATAACGTTTGGGGGGCCCACATTGTATAGTGATTATGCATCTGCAATTTTCCGGGAAAGAGATTTGCCAACATGGTATGTGCACCCTAGTTTCTGAGCTTTCAGTATATGCAGACAACCACCTTTGCGCAATTCCCGGCGTGCTTCAAAATGCTTCAAATATGTTGCCCCACAGCCATATGATATGTATCAAAATTCCTTCCCAGGTACAACATATTCGGATTTCATCTGGTTGGTGGTTTGGAACATTTGGATTATTTCTCCATTCAGTTGGGAATGTCATATTCCCAACTGACGAAGTCCATCATTTTTCAGTGGGGTAGGTGGCTCAACCACCAACCAGAGGGGTATTGAGATATCATATTCTATGGTATATGAACATTATATGGTACATTTCTCAATATATGGTAAGTATAAAAAACCATATTATACACCATTATACCATATCTATAATTGTACACCATATTATAATGTACGGGGATGGACCGCACCGGGATGACCATCTATTTAATCTATTTACCAGCTGGTGTTCCCCGGGCCACCAGGGTTTTGACACAGAGTCACTGCGCGGACTGCCCCTGCCATGTCACAGTCACTGGGCCACTAGGCCACTGGGCCGTCTTGACTAATGCGTTGAATTAACATGGTGCACTGCCTAGATGGGCCATGGAGTTTGTAACTAATTGGCAAGTGGATTGTTAATCCATGAGCCATACCCAGTGGTGTTTGGCCTTACTCATGAGTTACAACTAACATAGCTATGGAAAATCACCATCTTTAACATGTAAATCAACTATAAATGGGCGCTATGTTAGTGTACCAGATGGTAATTAAGTGACCATGGCCCATCGTTTTGTGTCTCACTTCCAGCGTTTTTCACAGAGGGCCAAGAAGGCACCCACTGCAGATGCGCTGGAATAAAGGCGCCAACTTGCACACCCCTCACTGGTTGGCCCCCTCTGATCCACCGCTCGTTTCTTGGTCAATCTTGGATGGGTAGAAACGAATCCAAAATAGTCTTTTGGTATCAATTTTGATTATCTACATTCACCAGCTAAGAATTTGTCATTTTTTTGCAGGGTATCTGGCAGATTGGCCATGGTTTGTACCTTTGAATACAGGCATGATCCCTATCGAAAATGCATATGCTCGAGTTCCAAAAGCTTAATCCATATCCAAGCCGTGCATTCGGTGTTGCCCCAGTGAATGTTAGTGAATGTTGGGTTGAAATAACTAGGCCAGTTGTTGTGTTTATGGTGCTGAAACAACTCTAGTTGGGTTCATAAGCTCACTTATAACATGTGAAGGTCAAATGGCTTGGATGATTTGGGGTATCATGATTTTAGGAAGTGCCCATATTGCCATAAAACTAGGCTTAGGGGGCAGCACCTTGTAGATTCAGCTTTCATGTCAGATCCTATAGGTGCATTTCTCAAATGCTGGCTGTTTGAGAAATAAAAATAATTGATAGGGGTGCTGTTCCCCCTGAGGTGTTTGTTGGTTTATAAAGCCCATGAATACTAGATGGATACATCTACCAAAATCCAACAGTTATTGTAGTGAAGTAGACCAACTTAGCTACCCATAAATCCCATGAAATCACCATGAAAACCCAATAAATCGCCATTTTGATTAGCCAAATCACCATGTAGAGCTGGTTTCCATCGATTGTTCACCAAGCATAAATTGCTTCTCTACGTCTATGTCGTACAAAGCGACCTGGCTGTCAGAAGGACATCATTGGAGCCTCCCAATTACTTGAGGATCATCTCACGAATGATTTTTAATTGTTGTTTATAACCGGCGACTAGCATGGAAACAATGTTTGTCACTGGTTCTTACGGTCGTGGTTCTTAAGGGTTCAAAAAACAATGGTTATTCATGGTCATTCCCATCTAGTAGCAGCTTAGTAGCAGCTATTTGGAGGATCATCTCATGAATCGTAAGAACTTAATAACCCTGATCCATTTTCTGTTTATTGCAAGCGTAGAAAAATCGTTTTTCCCACTCAAAATCCCAATGAAACCACCATGAAACCACCGTGAAACCACCATGAAACCACCATAAAACCATGATCATCCCACATGTGAATGATCATTAAATAGCTGCTTGAATCCTATTGAATCACGCTGAATTTTGCTCCGCTTGAATCATCCCATTCCCCATCAACTTCAGTAAAATCCCAATGAAATCCCAGTTAAAAATCTCAATAAAATTCCATTCAATCACATTGAATCATCATTTTTCCCAGTGAAATCTCAGTCAAATCCCACAATAAAACCCCAAAACACCGAGGTTGTGAACGGTGTTCCCGTCGCTTTCCTCACTGTCAGCTCTGTGGCCCTGAAGCTACGGGACCTGATGGAGTGGTCGTGCCTTGGTTCCTGCGTTTTTGTTCGGGGTTAAGCTGAGGAGCTGGGGATAGCAGTAAATTAGTGGACTTTAAATGAGATTTAAGCAACAAATTGGAATATTGGTTGTTTCAAACATTGGTTTAATATGGGGTAATGATGGTTAATCATGGTTAATGGAATATTGGAATATTGGAATATGAATAATGGAATATAATCTTGGAATATTGGAATATTGACTAAATCTGAAATCGCACTAAATCCGACTAAATCTGGTCGGTGGTTTCAAACATGCATTTTATTTTCCATTTCATATATGGGATGTCATCCTTCCCATTGACGAACTCATATTTTTCAGAGGGGTAGGTATACCACCAAGCAGATGAGATTTAAGCAACAAACAACGTGATTTTCATGGTGGTTTTCAATCGGAGAGAACTGAGCAACACAACATCTGCAGTGGAGATTTATTACCCTCTGGTAAACTAACATAGCTATTGAAAATGGCCATTTATAGTGAGTTTTCCCATTAAAAATTGTGATTTTCCATAGCTAGGTTAGTTTACCAGAGGGTAACATAGATGTCATATATTTTCATGGTGATTTCGTGAGATTTTTGTTGCAACTTCAGAATGGTGATTTCATGCGGGATCATTTCATAGGATGAATGTATGGATGGGAGCGAATGAAAAACGCATTTTCCGCCACCCAACTGCAACCCCAAGTGAAACTGGATTCATGTAACTAGGAAAACCTGAACAATCTTTGGGGAATACTTTAAATGAAACGATTTACAGTAAATCCGATTGCTTCGGGGTTGAACATAGTTGGCTACTTGATCTGAAGCTATGTTTGGTGAATGAGGTCTGAAACCTTTTGTGAATGCCCAGAACATCAGAACACATTAAAAAAAGAAAATGACAGAGCAGATCTAAATTGATTTCTAAAGTTGACTTAGTTGATGAGGGTGTAACCAGCAAAAGTAAGAGTTTATCCAGTGTTTTTTTTCGGGGGGCAGCATCCAGCATATTTCACGAGGGTTACTCAGTATACATATATATATATATATGTATATCGAAATATTAAAATATACATATATATATATTTACACACCGAAATATATAAATCTATATACATACATATATATATATATATATGTATATACCTAATATACAATTGTTTTATATACATATATATATATATATATGTATCAATATTGCATCTTTGAAATCCATATTGGGGATGGGTCGAGCCACCTATGATTTTCTTTTCACATAGTACCAGCGTTTCATTTTTTCGTGCCGTTGGCTTTCAAGATGCGCCGCTTGAGTTTTGTAAAGGAAGAGGCTCACCAGTTACTGGGATTTAATGGGATTTCACCAAGAAAAATGGTGATTTAATGGGATTTAATGGGATTTCACCAAGAAAAATGGTGATTTACTGCGATTTTCCATGGGATTTACTCGGCCTGGTAAACGTTTACAGTTCGCGAACTGGAAAATCAACATGTCTAATAGGTAAATCAACTATTTCTATGACCATTTTCCTATGGTTTTCCTATGATTTTCCTATGGTTTTTCTATGGTTTTTGGCCACATCTAACTAGTTCGAACTAGCTCGATTTATCCACCATGTGGAGTTTTTACCGGCCATAAAGCTAGGTAGTTTGTTTGGAACCATAAACATACGCATGGTTTATATAAAGGTACCACTATAATGGTGATATATACGGTTTATAATATACTATAATGGACCATAATGGGACCATATGGAAACATACGCATGGTGATGGGGATGGTTTACGCTTTAGGCTTTACCACAGTATCCATGGAGTCCATGGACCTGCACTGAAGCGGTTGGGAAAATTGTGCTTGTCAGCAAGTGGACCTTGCTTTGGCAACTCTACAATGTATGGACAATCCCTCAAATGGAAAACAAAGCAAGCAAATTCTTATAGACGACTTTACAATTAGGCAATTAGGCATTCTGATTTCCTTTGAACATTGTTTGCCATTGTGGGGATGTCTTTGTGTGCAAAGGGAATCCAGTGTTTCAATGCTAATGGATTCCGTTTGGACATAAAGATCAGTTTGCTGAATCTGATGTGTTTTTCCAGTTGGAAACCCACCATTTGGTGAAGCAAATCCAAGTAAATTGAGGAAACACACACAGTAAATTGGGCGCATCCAATATGTTTCATGGATTCTTGGTTAGAACCACAAAAAGACCAATTAATGTCTAGTAGTAGCCTAACTGTTCTGCTCTGTATTAGCTCTCATATTTTGGGAGATGTTTACAAGAAAACCAAAGTGTTATGAAAATTCATGAAAGGTTGGTTTGAAGGGACATCTGCAAGAAACCATGGATAAAACCCATCAAAACTCTGATGGTTTTCCAACGTTCCCGAAAAAAATTGCCCAATTCCGGGAGACAAACAGCCACAGAACTTGACGGATATGATTCGGATTAGATCATTCAGGATGCACGGGTGTTCCCTCG